GCCGGGGGAGGCCTCCCGTGCTGCGAAAGAGGCAGCCAACGATGTCCTGCGCCGTCCTGCTCCACGTGCTGGCTGCTCGGATTTGCCGGGCCCGGCACATAGAACAGGGCGGTGCCGGATGTTGGAGAAGCCGAGCGGAGCCGAAGCGACCTCGGCTCGCGTTGTTTTCTGAGCCCGCGAGCCTAGAGCCAGGGCGCTTTCATTGCACGGCGGAGCTTCTTGTCTCGGGAAAAACCGGGCGTCGTTGCTGCCCCCTGAGGGGAGGGCGATTCTGGCCTGCGCGATTGGGGGACTTCGTGGCTTTGGGTGGGAGCGAGGACGGACAGAGTCTGTGAAGTGGGGCTTGCCTGCCCTTGCTGGCTGCCTCTGCTTCCTTAGGGGCGGGGAAGGGGGCTCATCTGGACCAAGGGTGAGTCTCCCCCTCAGTTTCCCCTGAAGGATCTTCCGTCGCTTTTGCCTTCTCCCTACATCTTCCCTCTGTTAAAAGTCCCCCCCCCCCCCACACTTATTTTCGGGCGGATAGATTTCGTGTCTGAGCATTCTCACATGACGGTGGGTCTTTCCCCCCCCTAAAAACAGTTAAAAAAGGAAAAAATATATCCTCATGCAAGAACTTTTCTGCTTCCGATTACCCCCATGCTTAAAAGTTGCAAAGGAAACACGGAAGCAGGGAAGCGCCTGCCCAGCTCCGGAGCTCCACACCATTTTTTTTCTTCTGAAATGATTTCATTGTTGTATTTTCCATACAATGACGAATACCTAGGTTAGGAATCTGGAGGACAGAAGTAACATTTCATTACTTCTGGTATTAGAATCATAATGATATCATGTTAAAGAGCAAGAATGTAAAGCATCTAGTTCAATGAGGAAGAGGAGATGTGTTGTGGCCTGTCAGCCGCTGGCCCCTCCAGCAGCTGAATCAGAGGAGGCAGCGGCGTGGGAGTCAGGGTCAGCATCAGGGCAACCTGAGAGCTCCGAGGGGGAAGAGGGAATGATCTGGCAGAGAGATACAAGAGGTGGAGCCTGGGCTGTCTGTCAGCCCTCAGATAGAGAGTCAACAGCCCTCAGGTGTGGAGGTGGTTAATGAAGAAGAGGAGGAACAGCTGGGTCCAGTGCCTGACGTGCGGCTGAGCAGAAGGCAGAGAAAAGGAGAGCAGTGGAAAGCTGTAGGCCGATCCTGGGGAAGGAAGAGCCACTGCTGCTAATGAGGCCCCACCTCTGGGGGATAAAAAGCAGGGGGCGGAGATGAATAAGTGTGGCAGACAGCTATTTGTCTTCCAGACGGACAGACTTGTCGGCCTGCAAGAGAAACGTTTTGCTGGGGCTGCCAGCACTCCTAATAAAGGAATCTTTTGAGTTCACGTCAGAGGGTTGTCATGTTTGGGGAGCTGGGTCAGCACAAGATGAAGTCTAGAAATGAGGTACTTATGTCAGCTTTATTTCTAGCTGGATTTTGGATAGAATTCAAGAAGCTTAAAGTAGCAGTATGGAAAAGCTCCAAGAGTTTTCCTATTTACCATTAATTATTAATGGATTAAATCAAATGTTAGGAGAAAATGCTCACTGGCTTATTGTGCTTCTAATCTAAATAACAGGTCTATGTTAAGTTGATTTCTCTTTAATTTTCATCCAACATATCTGATTTCATAAGTCTGCAAATCTCTCCAACCCTGCCAGCAACAGCTGGAAAGCATGGTACACTTACAATGGAACATCTGGGTCCCCACCCACCTTTCTCAAATCACTTCTATTGTACCAGAATTTCTTATATCAATAACCCTTTAGAGGCTACTTCTTAATCAGAACTAAAAACCAATATTAACCAATTTGATATTAATTATAGTATTTATAAATGAACAGTGGAAAAAAAGAAATATGTCAGTAAGAATTCTTGAATATAGGATCCTCATTCAAGTTTAGGAAAATGTAAGGACAAATGTACTGATGAATTCTAACTCTTTAAATATTTCATGACATAACTTGCAGCAAACATATTAAATGGAGAACTCCTCAGTTTCACTTGTATCACAAAAAGTGACAGTTAGCTATCTAACATGAATTAGTAAATTACATTTAATAAAAAATGACAGAGTAAGAAACTTATTTAATGAATTGCAAAAGCTCAAATGGGTAGTGTGAATACCCAGAACAGAAGTTGATGAAAATTCAATTCAGTTTAAAAGTTTTTCAACAACATGGCTGATCCTCATGTTGGTCAATTATTGTTACAGGGCAAATCTCAACTCTTGTCCTTTCAAACATTTCTAACTTTTTCCTAGTTAATATGAGTCACCCTTTCTTAATTAATGGAAAAGTCAGTGTTATTCCATCTGGCACCCAAGAATTCTGCCCATTCTAATGATTAGAATGTAGTATTGCAGGCTAACTTTGCCCACAGCCTGGAGTTCGATCCTGATGGGGCTCAAGGTTAACTCAGCCTTCCATTTGTCCAAGATTGGTACAATGAGGATCCAGATTGTTGGGGACAATATGCTGACATTGTAAACCATTCAGGAAGTGCAGTAAAGTACTGTGGAATGGCAGATAAATCGAAATGCTATTTGTTTCTCTTCTTCAGAATTTAGGAATTGTCTCAATGTTTTCATGGGAATTATGTGAATTATTCTAAATATTTGCATTTCTAATATATTAAAAGTTGAGATCTATCCTTAGGCTTGCTCAGCCTATTTTTTTGGGACACACTATTGCATGTTTTATTTTTTTCAGAGGAAGGAAATACAATATCTTCTGCTTTTACAGCTAATTCTGACATTTTTATATACATTTAAAATTTTAATTGTTTGTTTCTATATTGCAAGCTTTTTTCCTAATGCCTTTATTGAGTTACACTTACTCTCAGTCTTATTATTTAAGTTTCAAGAATATGTCTTAAAAACAATTTATTTATTTCTGTTGCTGATTGCAACAATTCTAACTCAGGTGTTCTATCCATGGTTTTCTGACAGTACAAGTATGTTCTTCTTCCCTTTTCATTATTGGTTACATGCAAAATATTTAAACCATTCTGTCTTTGAAAAATTGGTGCTGCCTTGTTCTGATTGCATTTTTGTTTTGATTTATTCCCTAGAGCTTGCTGCCTAGATGATATAATTTTTCTCCCAATCCCAGAAATCTGTCTCTGTTTCAATCATATTTTCTCTCACAAAGTCTACATCAGTAAATGGTTAGTCTTGCCCAGCTATCACTTTGTCAAATTTTGACCTTTGCTAAAGTTACATATTCATCTTCTTTTGTCTTCAATATATATTTCCAAAATGTATGTTTAAAAATGTATGTCTACACAATGCCCATGTTTATGATAATATTGTCTGATTTTTTCTCTCTCTCTCATTGAACATTGAAAACCTTCAGATCTGATTAGAAAATGACACACTAATTTAAATGAATTCCATTTATCCATAACTATGTTAGTCTTTAGTTCAGACTTCATTTCATAGTATGTCAGTAGTATTGGTACGTTAGCAAGATCTATTAAAAAGTATAAATTAAAGCTATCTACATTGTTCTGGGTGCATATGAAAATAGATATCTAAAGGCAGTGATAGTTACATATTATGCTCCACTGAGCAGTGTTAATTGAATGATCAAGGACGAGCTGTTCAGTGTTCTGAATGAATGAAATCCAGAAGAAATAGATTACATGAAAAGATGGTTAGGATTGAGATTAGAAAGTAGAGGGCCATTTAGAAACATAAGAATGGTGATATTTTAGTAACTGGGTAGTTTAAAAAAATCTGCTTTTGAATATGTAGTTTAAATGTAAGCCTATGAATGCATGATGAAATATTGAGAGATTTAAGTAAATTAAATACAAAAGTAGGTAAAGACACTAGGTTAGAAGGAGAGTTAATCCAGGAATCCTGTATGGAAAAGTGTTAAAAATATATTTGATCTCACAATTGAATGAACAGAAATTGTTATAAAGAAGAACTAGAAGAAATGTGAAATGGAGTGTAAATAATTATGCAAGACTGAGTCAGAAGCATGTGAAGTTATTCTGATGCAAAATATAAAACAGCTTGTTTGGTGGAGTGAAAAAGTCAAGAAGCTTGAATGAGAAAAAAATGCATACAGGAGAATGATAGCTGCAAAAACTGGAGATGAGGGAAGGATCCTGTATATTGTGTATGTGCAGGAGAAAAGATAGCTGTAAAAAATGAGTGTGAAGATTAAAAAGGGGAGAGGAAATACAGAGCTATTTTGGGGGGAATAAAATATTGCTTGGGGAATGGATGAAAAGTGCTAAACAAGCCGGCTTCAACAGAGTGAATG